CAAAGCTTTGAGATGTTATTTGTGATGGACCCTTTGTCCCTATGAAGACTATTGGCGAGACAACAGTCACAGTTCTAAAGACAAGGAAGTAATATAATGATGTTGATCATAAGGCCATCGAGAAAATTTCAGGGCAAAGAAGATCCTCGTCTGCACATGAGGGAACCACTCAAGTCAAGCAGTCAAAAATCGACATGCTTACTACTGAGTATGAACTCTTCAAGATGAAGGAGGATGAGCAAATTCAGGAAAGGCATACTCGTTTTACCTCCATCATCAATGAGCTTCACTCCATTGAAGAAATTATCCCAAGGAACAAACTGGTCAGAAAAATACTCAGTGTGTTACCTAGTTCTTGGGAGAGCAAAGTTAATGCTACCGTGAAAGCCAAAGATCTGACGATTGACGAACTCATTGGAAATCTGAAAACTTATGAAATGAAAAAAAAGAAAGATCATGAAAGAATAGAACCCAAAAAAGGAGAAGAACCTGGTTCTCAAGGCACAACAGTGACTTAAGTGGTAATAACGCTGACATGGCCTATCTTACACGGTGATTTTAGAAAATGGTTCGTAGAAATGGAGGAATTCCTAAGAAGAGCGGCTTAAGCAGAAACACAAAAGGTTATAACTGCTATCACAAGTGCAAAAAACCAAGACATTTCATCAAATATTGCTCTCTCCACAAGCAGGACCATTACAAACACAACACGAACAAGACGTCTAAGAAGAACTCGGTCCCCGATAAGAAGTTAAAGAGAAGAGATGCTGCTGATAATATTGTGAAGCAAGCTCTAGCTGCCTGGGGAGATTCCTCTTGTGAATATGAGGGGTGATGATGAACAAGGAGACACCTCCATAATGGCCGTTGAAAGTAAAGCTGCAGAATATCATTCCATATTTACAATGATGGCAAAATTTGATGAGGATGAAGATAATGATGACGATGAGGTAAACTTTCTAGACGTTCAAAGAAATTTGAAGTCTTATTCTCGATAGAAACTGGTATCTTTAGTTAGTGTCTTAATTGATGCTTACTACAATCTCATTAATGATAAAAATGTTTAACTGAGGAAACTAAAGAGATAAAATGTTACACCTCGTACTTTTGTAAGTTGGATTTGTCTTAAGATAATTGACATAAGTTCACTTTTGAGGTTATAACTGGTTCTGCTAAGTTTAGAAAGTGTTGAGGAAGTGTCAAAGATTAGAGGTCAACAAATCGAAGAGAATAAGTTTTGTCAATAAAGTACCTCGTGCTTTCGAGCTATTGCTTGAGCCGCTCGACGCATGTAAGTTAACCTGAGCCATGAAGAATTTTGGTGATATTCAAGTATGTAAATAAAGAACACAGTGTATAATAAGATGAAGTTCCAAAATGATGTAGGACTTAAAAGCGTGACAATGGTGGTACGGAATAATATTTGGCGTGTATAAAGAGGCTATGGACTAGAATTATATCACATGATAGTTTTGAAGTTCCACTAGAATTTTGCAGCTGCGCTATCGCCGCCTGTTGAGCCTGCAACATTTCGAAGATTAATCGTAGGCTAACCCTGTCACCTTCTCCTTCGGGTGCTCCTCGAGCCGTTGGCCGGGCTCCTCCGCGAACGATGTTCTCGGGATCGGTTGGTAGATTGGCGTCGATGGCCACCTACGAGTTGGCATTGACTGGGTCGGCAACTGGACTCCGTTGGGATCAGCAGGAGGCACCTCATTGCTAGGCACCAGATTGTTGTTTTCGTCATGATGGCTAGACTCAACCTCAACGTTCAAGTGAGCAGACTGAGAATTTGACATTTTTAAGCTGACCTGAAATTGAGACCTTAAAGAACAAGTGTAAAATAGAGTGTGTTATGGAGATTTGTGTCAAATCACTACTATTATCCTTAGCCCCACAGTGGGCGCCAAACTATTTACCCTAAAAATAGATAACAATTGAATTTATACATGGTTTTAAGGGTATGTGGATTGATTCAATACAATTCACATATGTGGATTGACGTTAATGCCGGTCTCGAATTTAAGCTGTACAGTAGTTTTGCTTTTGACCGGACCCTCAATTCGAAGCCAATTGCGTATAAAGAATAACAAGAAAACAAGAACTTTGCGATAGCTGGAAATCAGAAAAATAAACTTGAATTGCCTTAGTTTTCGTGTTACAATGCATATTGAGTAAAAAGCTTCTCCTTTATATAGTAGGAAAGTTTCACCCCTAGTACAATTCTACAAAAAATAAATAATCCTCCTTTTTCGTCAATCACTAATCCGTTACCGACATTGGGCGAGTCTTCACCGTGATATCCGATTGGATGCGGATATCACGGCCCTCTGTTAGTTGTGTGCAACCATTTGTCGTGCTTTCCAAGGTCTTGGAGCATGTTCTGGGTACGGGGAGTGTTGCCTTATCAGGACCGGTAGCAAACACCTCATTCGAGCTTTAGTACAAAGAGTTTTCAAGTTCGATTTCGATCTCGTATATTCATACTCGTACTTCATTTGATCATCGGGAAATCGGGGTGTGAACTAACCCCGATTTCACCCGTATATAAAGGGGTAAACTTTCATAACGAAAGATATTTCATAATTCATATATTTCCACGAAAATATAAACCAACGAATGATATTTCATAAATTTGCCCATTGAAAGGGGGCGGAAGATTCGAAAAAAGAAAAACATATCGTTAATCAAGTACCTAAGAATAAGTTTTAACTTTTACGCGCAAATAATATACTTACTACTTATTTAGTTATATGAATATTCATAAAAATATAATTATGCAGAAGTCATATATCCGAGGAAAAAATACATCGATCGTCAGAGTCTCAGAGATGTAAAAGTCATGACGCGAAAAAGGAAGTATAGGGAGGCGTGGAACTACTCGAAGAAAGTATAGGGAGGCGTGGAACTACTCGAAGGAAGAAAAGACACCAAAAGTGGGGAATGTTATGATCTGACAAACAGACTAAGCAAACAAAATGGACTTTGATTTCTGATGATAAAAATGCAATACAAGTTGAGAGGAAAATACCAACAAACACTGGAATGGAAATGACAATAACAGAAAGAAAAGATAGTGGGAGGATAAAGCCACAGACAGAGGAAGAGAAATATTCTAACAAACTCTTTCCCAGTCTACACTGTCTCCATTCCTTCATTAATATACTACTAACTGGTCCCCTCCTGAGATATGTCTTGGAGAACAAGTTCTCCTAATTAGCCAGCATCCCATGTATAATCATCTAGCCTTTGGGCTGGTATTCGACCCCTCTTACTTCTTCTGGGCAAACTTCTAGGCCCACTTGGTGGATCAACTTGTACTTCAGCTTCCTAGATTGGCCCAATGTTGTCTCCATTCGTGAAAATATCCCCATCTCCAGATTGAACCTTGTCCTCAAGGTTCGTTTGTGGTGCATCGAACAATTGCAATGGGGTAATCTGATTTTCAGGCAATCCTATACATTTGCGCAGCATAGAGACATGAAAACCGGATGAATCTTGGCCTCATCTGGTAAATCCAATTTGTAAGCGACCTCACCGATTCTCCTAAGCACCTTAAAGGGTCCAAAGAAGCAATGCCTAAGTTTCTGATGTTTCTGCAATCGTAGGGAGTTTTGTCTATATGGTTTCAGTTTTACAAAAACCCAATTACCCTCGGAGAACTCCACAAAGTTGCGCTTTATATCTGCAAACTCTTTTATCTTCTGTTGTGCCTTAGAAAGATTATGCTTTAACAGATCCATTACTGCATCCCTTTGCAGCATGTACTGCTCAATGAGTTCGTTTGAACTAGAACCCAGTGCATAGCGAACCAGAGTTGGAGGTTCGCGCCCGTATAATGCTTGAAAGGGTGTCATCCTCGCCGAAGTCTGGTAGGCTATATTATACCAGTATTCAGCCCAGGGCAAGAGAGGAGACCATTCATGTGGGATGTCCATTACAAAGCAATGCAAATATTGCTCGACACATTTGTTTAAAGCCTCCGACTGGCCATCGGTTTGTGGGTGATAGGCCGTACTCATTGATAAGGTTGTGCCTTGAAGCCGATGAATCTCTTTCCAAAATGAATTCATGAATCGAGGATCTCTATCTATCACGATTACCTTTGGGGGTCCATGAAGTCTTATGATTTCTGCCACAAAAATTACTGCCATAGTCTGGGCCGTGAAGGTGGAAGGAAGGGCTACAAAATGTGCATATTTTGACAATCGGTCCACCACCATCATGATGGTTGCCTTTCCCTTCGAGCTAGGTAAGCAGGTAATAAAGTCCATGGTGATCTCTTCAAATACCAAGTCCGGCACGGGAAGAGGTTGCAACAGGCCTGCTGGTTGCCGATACAAGTACTTTATCTGCTGGCACACTTGGCATGAAGACACGAAGGTTTGGACATCCTTGCGCATTCCCTTCCAAAAGAAATTAGATGAGAGGCGATGGAAAGTCCGAGAAACCCCAACATGTCCTCCAACAGGGGAGGAATGAAATTCTTCCAACAACTGTACTCGCAAAGGAGAATCAGATGGCAAGACTAAGCGTCCTCGAAATAGCAGTAAGCCATCACAGAAGATATAGTCTGTGATAGCTATTGGACTCATCTGGAGTTGTTTCTGAATCTCCAATAATTCTGGATGTTCCCGGTTAGCCTGTTGTAATACGGTAATGATGTCGAAATTTTGACCAGACAAGGCTAGGAAAGAAGCCTCAGGCATGCGGGATAAAGCATCATCTGCTATATTATGCTTCTCTAGCTTATAGAGAATCTTGAAATCATATCCCACTAATTTGCTAAGCCATTGTTGCTGCTCTGGAGTCTGTATCACCTGATTGGTCAAATTTTTCAAAGCTTGTTGGTCAGTGTAGATGATGAAATGCCTACCCAGCAGGTATTACCTCCATTTACTGACTGTATGCGTTATTGCGAACATTTCTCGGTGATAGGTTGAAGCATTTCGCATGTGCGGACAAATTTTATGGCTGTAGTAAGCTATTGGGTGGCTTCGCTAAGATAGCACAAGCCCAATTCCTAACTCAGAAGCATCTGTTTCAATATGGAATTCCAATGAGAAGTCGGGCAAAGAAAGAACTGGAGCAGAGCCTAATGCATTCTTGAGAATTTCAAATGACTCTTGGGCTTGATCAGTCCACTTGAATGGTTCCTTTTGCAACAAATCCATTATTGGACTAGCGATAGAAGCATATTGGCGGATAAACTGGCGATAATAACCAGCAAGTCCCAAAAAACTACGAACCTCCTTTACATTTTGTGGAACTGGCCATTGTAAAATGGCTTGAATTTTGGTTGGATCAACTGATAGCCCCTTCTCCGAAACTACATGGCCCAAGTAATCGATCTTCTTTTGCCCAAATAAACTCTTAGCCTCCTTTGCTACCAATTTGTGGTCCTTGAGCAACTGCAGAATGTCACACCTCCTTTTTACGTCCCCGCGAGGGGTGAAGGAGTTTTTCCAATCAAAGGACAATCGAAACGGGATTTGTTTATTTATTTCAGAGTCGCCACTTGGGAGATTTAGGGTGTCCCAAGTCACCAATTTAATCCCGAATCGAGGAAAAGAATGACTCTGTTTAACAGTCCGCGAACCAGAAATCCGGATAAGGAATTATGTTAGCCCGGGAGAAGGTGTTAGGCATTCCCGAGTTTCGTGGTTCTAGCACGGTCGCTCAACTGTTGCATTTAGCTATTATCTAATTTTTTACATGAATAACCTATGTGCTGATTCTACATTTTACTGCTTTTATATATACATATTTATTCGAGAAAGTGAACGTCGTTTAAAGTATGTTTTCGGATTGCGCCGCATCAAATGAACCCGCAATCTTAGGCACACTCTATTCAACGTCTTAGGATTTGGATTCGGGCCGCATAAAATTGCCCACCCATATTTAGGAATGTAATTTACTAAAGCCACGCCTAAAGATTCTAGCGCGTTATTATCTCTTGGGAGGGCCGTGAAATTCGCTAAACGGCCCCTCCTGAATTCTAAAAATCTTAAACCTTTACTGAGGGCCCCGCAATTTTTTTTTTTAATTTGGCGAAGCTTGTCTCATTTATTTTAAAAGGGCAATCCTAAAGTAACTACATTTCTATTTTTAATTTGTCTCTAAATAAAAAAAAATCCTGGTTAATTACATGCTGGAAAAAAACTGTAACTTGTTTAATTAATAGGTTACAACAGATGCTAACGAAAAATTGTACTCGAACTTGTAAAAATGGAAAATTGTTTCGCACCTTATTCCATAAGCTAAAATTACTAAAAAAATGGAATTATGTATACAAAAAAAACGTACAAGATTGACTAAACGTTACTACAATTAGCCATTTTTAACTGTGGTAAGGTTAACTAAATGATCAAAGCTATAGACTAATTCATTAACCCTAATGGATCCGCAATTTAACTATACTAAATGCTTATTGAAACTACTCTACATTAGTATAAGTATACTTAATCAT